AGCTCGTCTGCCCGTCGAGGCGCCGGAGATAACCTCATCTTCGTCCGCAACGAGGGCCGAGGAGCCCAACACTCCCTTCGGACTCGGGCTTCGTCGAATAGGAGACCCAGACCCCGAACTTGGCCCAACACTACCCTCTCCGTTGTTCCCCCCAACTATACCAGGTCCACCGCTGCTCCCACTGACAGAGGGTCTGGCGATCGGAGCAAGAGGGGGCTGAATGGGTCGTCCGATGGGACCCGGAGGCCCAATTGGCTCGACCACTGACATCCTTCGGGGCTGTTGAGGCGACAGCATCGTAGTACCGCTAGCCAATGCTGACGTTGTCGACGATGAAGGTAGAATCGGTCCTGCGGACTTGGGGGGAGGCCCAATAGGTGCTGGCGGTGCGCCACCTGGCATACCGCCACGACCAAATGATTGAGGGTCGTACGGACTGGGAGCGTTGCCACTGGGAGGGGCTCCTGGAGCTCCGAAGTTCCTCGGGAGGGCTGAAGGGCCGAGGTTGTTCGGTACATGAGGGCCGCCGGAGATGGGTGGGCCTTGCATGGAAGGACCTGGGCCGAATCCGAACGGCGATGGAGGTGGGAACCGTTGCTGCGCCATTGTCGGCGACAGAGGCTGAGGAAGCATTCCTGGAGGCGGGCCAAACATCGGAGTCGTTGGAGGTGCGTGCTGAGGAAGTTGACCACCGATAGGTGTAGCTGGTGCTGAGACCTGCTGCGGTATCGGACGCGAGGGATGATGAGATTGCTGTTGAGGCAGAGGAGGTTGCTGCTGGTGAGGCTGCTGTGGCTGAGGCTGTTGGACAGGTCGAGGAGGAGTTGAGCTCAAGGAAGTCGTAGAAGATGAAGGGGCAGGTGCATTGTTGTTGCTGCTGGTCGCGACGGACGAAGCAGAATTCGTAGCGGAAACGGGGGCAGGCTTGGTGAGGATCGTCTTTGGTGGGCCGTTGGCCTTGGACGGTGCTCTGGGCGACGTCGGCGCCTTATTACTACGAGCGTTGTTCCTCGCTGCCTTCTGCTGTTGCTGCTGCTTTTCTCGAGCAACTTCCCGCTCTTTCTCTTCCTTTTCCTTCTTCTCTCGCTCTTTGCGTTCCCTTTCAGCCCGTTCTTCCCTCTCCTTCTCTTCCCTCCGAGCCTTTTCAGCCGCCGCCTTCTCGGCCTTCTCGGCTTTCTCAGCTCGAAGCTTCTCCTCCCTCTCTTCCCGAGCTTTCCTGTCTTTCTCTTCCTTCTCCCGCCTCTCCGCTCTTAACTTTTCCTCCCTCTCCCTCTTCTTCTTCTCCTTCTCAGCTTCCCGTTCTTTCTCCTCCGCGATTCTCCTCCGCCTTTCTTCCTCCTTCTTCTGTCTTTCCTCCTCCTGAGCTTTCCTCTGAGCTTCCCTCTTCGCTCGGTCCTCCTCCCTCCTCCTCCTCTGATCCTCTTCGAGTGCAGCCTGCTTGGCTTTAGCAGCAGCTTCCTCAGCATGCTTCTCAGCCTCTCGCTTAGCTCGCTCTTCCTCCTTCGCAAGCTTCTGTTGCCTATGTGCATGGAGAACAAACAAAACATTCGTTAGCGGGTACAGCTCCCTTGTATTCGGAGGAGGAGAAGGTCGAGGAGGTCGAGGAACAACAATCCCCGAGAGAACGGTCAAAACGTAAAAAAAGAAAAACTTCATCGTCATATAAAACGCTGCTGTGAGTAGCAGTTGCCAGATCGATATCGACAACATTTGTCGGACGATAAGGAAAAAGACGAGGGAAGTTTCTGGGAGGGAGATGAAGGGGTAATTATATACCTCCCAACTGCACCAACACACGAGGATGCGGGGCGTGTAAACAATGCAGCTTGTTTACCTCGTACCCAAATTCGTCTCCAAATACGACCACTCTCGAAGCGATCATCGATGGAAATGAATGGGAGATTCCGAACTTTCGGAGCTACGGAGAACCCCAAAATGCAATCGACAATCGCCTCGCGTGCAAGGGATTGGGAAGAGTAAGCGCCAGGGTGGTGGAGCGGCGGGTGGGTGACCAGGTAGAGTAAAGGAAAGGCACAATCAAAGGCCAATCCCTGCCGGGTACACACCAACAACGCCAGTAGGATGACGAGGTAAAGCAAGGAAAGGAAAGAAAAGCGAAAGATGAGGTACAAGGGCAGTACGAACGCAAACCCCGGCCAACACGCCAACCCCACGAGACTACGACCCCGTAGAGCACGAAGCAAAACGAAACCTCACAAAACAGAGACAAGAGACAAAAAAAGTAGGAACGAAAACTCTCACCTCTTCTTATCCTTCTTCTTCTGGTTAGCATTTTGCTTCTTAGCCTCCCTCTCCTTGGACATCTTGTCCTCATCCTCCAACTCTCTCAATAATTGCAACTGTCTCTCCTGAGCGACCTTTTCCCGATAAGCCTGGAGGACCCGTTGCTCAAACATCCGAGCCGCAAAGATGCTGAACATCCGTTTGCCTTCTTCCATTTTTTGCTCTTCGGTCATTACCTGGTAGCGATAGGGAATATGTTAGTTTCGTCATAGCAAAGGGGTAACGGGGAGAGAGAAGGGAGAAGATCATGCAGAAATGAAAAAGAAGAAATTTATATGACGTCTCGAATCGCAGCGTGGCGTAGAGTCAATTTCGGGAAGGGATATGAATGAAAATGTCGAGATTCTTTATGTGAAATGGGGATCCCTATCCAGGCCCATCGGTTCACCAAGGACGAGCCAACAAAGCACCGCGCACGTCGCATCCGAACGAAGAATCGATCGTAGCTGATTGTGCGCAGTGGCCTCAAGCAGCAGAGACAAGGAAGGGGAGGCAACGGGCGAAGAAAAGCGTAAAGAGAGCGAGGGATTACGACGACAACAACCCACCTCTTCCTCTTCGTCATCATCATCTTCCTCCTCGTCATCGTCATCGTCCTCGTCTTCATCGTCGTCGTCGTCCTCATCACCATCATCCTCATCTCTGTCAATGAATTGCACAAACGTCAGAATCAGGTAGCAAAACCCAGAGAGAAGGAGAAAGGTGAGCGGTGAGCGGGGGGTGGAAAGGAAGTAAGAAAGCAAGGAAGGTAGGCGGAGGGGCAAAGTCGACATGGGTGCCCCAGAGATAGCCATGAAAACATGAACGTGAAAAGCAGACAGCACGGATTGGGCCGTGGATAAGGATAAGGATAAGAAGGATATATCTCGGAGTATGTGAAGTGAATAGAGAAAGGACGACCCACTCGCTATCTTCCGCTACGCCTTTCGCAGCATCCTCTTCTCTTTGCATCCGCCTCTCCGCCAATTGTTCCATCATCTCGAGAAACTTTTGGCCGTCGTTCTTGAGGAGATCATCTGCAACGGTAAGGATGTTCCCAGGGCCTGGAGGCGGGCGTTAGTTTCCGGATCGTGTGACAGAACAGGGAAGAACGGAAGGGGGGCAAAGAATCAAGAAGCCGACCTCCGGAAAGTGCGAAACAAGTGTAAGAATGATGACAATCCAAATGATGATGGAAAAATGCAGGTTGAAAGAATTGAAATAGCACAAGACAACTCACCAGCGACGGTTAGACTACTTCCGAGGCTGAAGAAGTCTCGCGCTTGAGGGCTCTTTGGAGGAACTCCATTGACTTTGCGGTCCACGGCCCGGCCGTTGTTGGGATTAGCAGACGGAGGATTGGACCCTGGGGGACGCCTGCGCTGCTGACCAGGCTTTGTAGGGTAATCCTCTTCAAGCGCGGCGTCGTCTTCTTCTTCCTCGTCGTCGTCGTCCTCTTCCTCATCGTCGTCCTCTTCTTCCTCCTCGTATTCATCTTCTTCGTAGTCCTCCTCATCGGCATCGTCATCATCAAACTCGCTCTCCATCCGAGGATGTGGATGCTGATGTGGATGATGAGTATGAGGCTGTTGCTGCTGTTGTCGAGGATGCGGCGGTTGTTGACTTTGAGGGTGCTTTCCTCCTCGGCCATTGACCTGTACTTGGGGGTGGGTACCCTTGTGGTTCGGAACAGTGGCTCGTGGAGGATGCTTGCCTTGCTGGGTGTTGTGATGAGGCACATACGGATGGCCAACGACAGCACCATTCTTGTCAAGCTCAACGGAGCCAGGGAAAGGGCCGGGGCCGGGGGGTGGATCAAGGGCACCGCCAGAACTGAGGTATCGCTGCTGGTAGTTCGCGTACTGTTCTAGCTCCTCGTAATAAGCATCGTACAGTACCTCGAGCTCTTCCTCTATTGCATTCCTGTTTTGGATTCCAACCCGACCGAAAATCGTGACAAAGAAAAGTTGGGCACACGCAAGTACTTTTTCGTCAGAACCTCGACCTAGAATCAAAGAAAATCCGGTCGACGTACCGCTTTCGCCCACAAACTGCACAGGAACAACTGTGCTTCTGCTGTTCCTTCATCTTTCTCAGCACCGTGTCCTTTTCGATCTTGACCAAATTGCGCCGTTCTTCCTCTCCCAATCCCAGCCAGAATTCTTTGATCCTTTCTCTCTCTTCTGTCGTGCTCGTACTCCAGATCTTGCTGCTAATCTTCGGTCCACCAGCCCCTGCTCCTCCAGCAGCACTGCCAGTTCCACCACCTGCAGTTCCAGACGACCGCTGCTTGCCACTCTGCTGTTGCTGGGCATAACCATGGGGTGGTATTGGCGCCTTTGACTGAGCACGTGCACTAGGTCGAGTATTCTGTCCTTGTTGCTGCTGCTGCTGGGTAGTGGCCGTCGCAGAGGTGGTGTTTTGCTGGGAGTAGGTCATCGGTTTTTTGCCGATTGAAACTTGACTCGGTTGCTGAGGTTGCTGGTTGGAACGGGTCACAGCCATTTTCTTTCCTCCCTATTCTTAAATCGAAATCGAGAGAAGAAGAAAAAATGGTGGTGATGATGGTGCTGTCGATGAGATTTGGGCGTCGAGTGGCCGTTCCGGGAGAGATTGAAAAAGGATGACTAAGCAATTGAGCGTGGTCCATCGTTGGCTGTGACGAATCACAAAGTCTATAAGTCGTCAAGATTACATATGCTTCCCCGTTGCTCAATGGTGAGATGGCCGAGTGGTCTAAGGCGCTAGATTTAGGTCTCCATACCGTATCTCTAGTCTTCGGGCGTGGGTTCGAATCCCACTCTCATCATTGATTAGCCTTTCCTTTTTGGCGTGTTGTTTCGATTCTCACTTAGAACAGTGTCAAAATCCTCGTAAGAAACCTCATAATCCCCTGGGGAAGATAGTGTCAGGCCTTCCACAGGCACAATATTTGCCGGTCGAGGAATGAGAGAGAAGCAGATTGTATGGGATGCAAGTTCGAATCTCACTCTCATATAAGATATCTATTTTACCCTCCGTTTTCTTTCTATCCTAGTCTGATATCCCGTCTACGTGGCGAGAAACTCCTTCGAGAAGGGATAGTCGGTGTAACCACTTGCATCAGTACTTCCACAGGTATAATATTTACCGCGATCGCCCTTCGCCAGCGGCAGGTTGTGCATCAGACGAAATGGTAGGTCCGGCTGATCAAATGAATTGGCGGATACTCTAGAGAGAGTAAGAGAGTGGACGTACGTTCGCAATGAACTGCCTCCCGAAAGCTACCACATCCCCCTTAGTCTCTGCCACTTCAATGGCCAACTCTCTCTCATACCCCCCGCTTGATATGAGAACGCCGTCGCCCCAAATCTCCCGAATGAAGTCGTTCTCAAATCCTTCGGGAACATTCGCAACCGTATCCCAACCATCAGCTCTCGCCTCTTGTACATGCAAGTACGCTAACCGTGGAAATCTGTACTTCAACTCATTCACAAAGTACGCAAACGTTGGTCTCGGGTCGTTCATGCCCATTCCTACATTGGTTTTCAGCATTCAGCAAAGAGCAGTTCTAGCGAGGGCATACGGCTCACCTTGATATTTACTCCAAGGACTAATCCTCACCCCCGTCCTCTCCTCGCCAATCTCTTGAACCACGGCTTCGACGACTCTCAACGGAAACCGTGCTCTATTCTCCACGGAGCCACCATACTCGTCAGTACGATTATTGCTCGTATCCTGCAAAAACTGGTCAATCAAATACCCCCCCGCGGCATGGATCTCCACTCCGTCCATCCCGGCCTTCTGTACAACGTTAACAGCCGCCCGAGCACATTGCTGGACATAAATTTCCATCCCTCGGGCTGTCAAAGCACTGGGTCGGCGAACCACCGGTAGTCGATCAGGATGCGTATGAGATTGAATTGAGGACAGTGGGAGTGGTATGTCGGACGCCGAGACGTACGGGAGTCCAGAGGAGTCGAGAATATCGGGGTTGGCTGCTCTTCCTAGTGCGTAGATCTGGAGGAATACATACGAGTTGTTTTTGTGGACTCGATTAGCGACCTACAAGCGTCTATCAGCCTGGAGACCATTTCCAGTCATTACGATACTCACCTCCTTCCAAGCAGCGACCTGCCTATCATCCCAAATCCCGGGTACATTCGGCGCTCCACCAGCTTCTCTCGAGATTAACGTTCCTTCAGAGATGAGCAGCGTCCCCGGTACCCTCGCTCTCTGTTCATAGTATTCGCCGACAATAGGCATCAACGGGACAGAGTCGGTGTCAGCCCGATACCTGCTCGTAGGTGCATGGACTACCCGATGTCGGAGATGCATGAAACCGTTTTGGATTGGGGTGAATAACTTGGGCGTAGTGGCTACTTCCTCGAGACTCGACAATGTAATGGGCTCTGGTACTAGGCTCAATGAGACCGCGACAAGCCTTTGTTTGGAATCTTCGTCGATGTGTCTCATTTGGTGGGTGGGTTAGGACAGGTTAGTTCACGACCACTTTGAATGGAGCCTTATATTTCAACTACTGCTCACCTTTCGGTTCATCCGAGAGCCTAGTACTTGCCCGTTTCACTCATTCGGATCGCTTGTGATCGCTTCGGAGCCCCAACGAGATATTCATGAGCCAACTCGGACGCTATGGCACCATATTAAGTCATCGTGAGCAATTCCGAACGAAATTTGCGAACCAACCTTATGAGGCCCTGTCCTTCCGACCTATCAAAAGCATGCCGGTCGCCTCGCAGCGTATTCTGGTTTGAAGATTTTCTAAGTTTCCTTGCACCTTCTTGACGCTCCAAGTTTGATTGACATTCGTGTGCGTTGAAGCAAAGACCTGGCCTGTGCAGGCCTGTGCGCCCATTGGTACCTATTTGTTCGGCACGTGATCTCAATTTTCCACTTTGGCTCGGCGCTATTCATAGTAAAACTCAATTTTCTTTTTCTCCCTCTCAACACTCCATAGTCTCTATTTTCGACTTTTTGTCTTCTGCCGCTGTTACTGTTGACGAAATCCTCGAAGGTTTGCATCAAATACACGGAAGCGACAGGATATGAGCAAACAGTTGGCAATTGGAACTCAGATGCATAGAACTAGCACGCCCTGTCTCAACTGACGTGCTTTCTTATCTCTAGTGGCCGCAGAACATCTATCTTGGGCTCTCAGGAGTGCTACGTCACCTCAAAATGTCAGTCATTGCAAGAGAAACCATTACGGTGCTGGGTACTAGAAGAAACAGTTCGGGTGCGTCTCGGGGTGGTGGTCTTGCCATATGAGGGCCCTACTAACGCTACTTTGAACCCATTCAAGTGCCCTCGTTGTTACCTGGCAATTTTTGGAGTCCTGACATCACCTGCCAGCGCTACTGTTGGAATTTGAAATATTGGAAGGCACGATTTTCCACGTTATGAACGTTCGCATGTCCCAGGGAGCATTTTGAAGGCGAGTTGGGATCGAATGGATGTAGGTTGGGCTAGTCATTGCAGGTCGACTGTCGATGGCTGTAGGCGTGACTAGGGATGCTGCAAGTACGTCGTTTTGGCTGAAATCTCCCGCTGATTCCGGACCCAATGATCCACCTACCCACGCATTATGAGATCTCGAGGGTACTACCCCTCTTTTTGCTGTGCTATCAGCAGCGGCATTCTGAATGTATCACTGAGTCTGAAACCCTCAATCTTTGGACAATGATTGCACCATTCTTCTGCTCGAACGATTCTATCATAAATGATTGGAAGGAAATCGCTAATCCATCATCAGAAGGATATTTTTGTAGTGGCGCATACGACTGCGAACCTGGGAATTGTACATCTCGCATACCATGAAGAACCCACGGGATTCGAGGACCCGAGATTCGTCTCTCAAAGGATATTTGATGATACGGAAACTCGGCAGGGGGATCATGGGACGCCTGAAGCTGTTGCCGGATTGTTCCTTATCCCTACCTCCTTACGCGTTCAGGTTCACTTGGAGGCATTCAAGGGATACTCAGATTTCCTCACGATTCCACCATATCAACTCCATAAATAGGTCTCGTATCAACATCCAAAACATACATCTCGGACACTCTTATTTCCCTGCCGTGCTCTTGACCTTCATGGCAGTTCTCGTACATCCCGTGGCCATTGTGTCCGAGCTGAGTGGGAGATTCCGATACTTAAACGTTGAAGAAATCAAGAAGTGCCGGGAGCGCGTGAAGCCGTGAAACGACTTCTCAAATATCATCAGCGCTGAAAGTCCGTTTGGTTCGTTGAGTTCAATGCACACAGCTGTCAACACAGCTTGGAATTTGCAATAGCTCCACCAATCCTGATACTTGATCCATCTAACGCTGTTGTGATTGACGAGGCAAACAAACGTGATGGCTCTATCTCACCATTCTTGGGCCCCGCCCTATGCATAAAAAGCTTTTGCCATCACACGACATGCTCCCCTACCTGTCTTCTTACCTCCCTGGTCAATCCCGTTGAATACTATTAACTCAAAGATGCGGCAAGCAACCTTTTCAGAAATTTGGGGCCCCCAGATGATTGCATTCATATTCGACCTTTTGTGAGCTACCCTTCCGCTACGTATCATCGTCTGAGTAGACTGAAAAACTCCCGTGCAGTCTTTATGGGGCCGGATCGGTAGGTTTGTCGACTTTTTGTATCCGTTCGACCGTTGATTTAGCGTCGAAGGTTCTTGTGATGCAATATTATCGCTCCTACAACTCCTCCGACAGTCTCCCAGTCCGATGTGCTGTAAGCCGCCCTTTCTTTAGCGTACCGAATGGGCTGTTATTTGACTCTCCACTTCATAGGTTGGCATGGTTTTGTTAGTCAGATCTGCTTCTGATGGTCCTGAGCCCCATTTTAAAGGTCTATGAAGTTTCTTCGCAAGCGCCCACGTCGTATTCCTGAGCCACCAGATGTACGTTGACTTTGTGACCTGGTTTGCCCAGCCGGAACTTCTCGACACCATTCTACCGTGAGCTATTTCTCGCTTTCCAATCCCGGCGATGACTGACGAAGATCGCTTGTGTAGCTCTGCTTCCGTGCGGTTCCCTCTGCTTGAAGTGACGCCACTCTAATTTTTTGAGGCAGGGTATGCTCATCGGAACTGTGAGTCCCGCTTCCCCGGATTAGTTTGTGTGTCTAATGAAAGTCCTCCAGTATCTTACAGCATTCACGGCGCAGATGTAAGTTGCTTATCTGTCGTCTTAATACCGAGATCCATTATTGACTGTCGTTCTAGCTTCTATAGCACACGTATCTACAACTGTAAGTTGCCCAATCCTTCAGAAATCACACTCGACTCGAGGTATCACGCTGTTTTTCCTAGTGGCACCGGACGGGAGAAAGATTCTTCTATCAACGCCGGTGGTATGTGATAATAGCTTTCTCTATCACTCTCACATCCCGAACCTCTCCCACTCTTCTGCGCATTAGGTCCTTCTGGCATTCCTTCAGATCGGTGCGTTCACACAACAACTTGACCAGTCTGTGAAGATGATGCTTAAGCCGTGATCATCAGGATTTGGTATCGGTACGTGGTTTGTTTAACGTCGAGTCTCGATTTTTCGTCACTCAATATCACTATGTTTAGCTCAAACTATCTCTATGTAAGCGCCGTCTCTTATATTCCATTCTGGTTGAACGCTCTCCGAGCTGATGGCAATGGTATGCCTTGCTACTCAGCTCAAGTTTCAAATCCTACAGCCTCTTGGAAACTACCAAAGTAAAACACCCCTTTTCTTCGGTCCATCCTTTGATTCCTTTGATTTTTCTGACCGGAACGGTTCCAGATGATCACGTCTACCCAGGCGGGACTCACAG